TAAGGCGTGATTGGCGTGAGTTACAAGACTTAGACTTACCCTAACAGGTCGATCTGGCTATTTGCAATAAGATGATAGACGAACCTGTCGTAAGGCGCTGAACTCAAGTCTGCCCTCGGAATTTGCGGAACGATTCTCTGAAGGGAGTGACGGATTATCCAAGCGAGAAGTCGCATTTGGAATCCTTGACACTTGCAAGTTTTTGCTTTCGTCTAGAAGATTTCATATAAGCCGCGGAAACACTTCCTATTCATTATATTGGCCCAGTTCTTCCTTATTGGACATCAGGAGGAGGCTAACTTCTCTTACGGTTCATTCTTAGAATCTTTAGCATGAATATTCGGCCATTAGAGCTTGCATGAAGAAACAAATTCTATGGTTCAAGAGCACATGTGGTACTCTGTCTCAAAACAGGACAGTTTCTCACAATGAGCACAGCGAATGAAGAGGTGCAGTTCGTCACCAGTTCGGAGCGAAAAAAGTACTGAAGAAATGTTGGAGTCACTGGTAGGTGCCCCGAAGTATCCCGCGAAAAGGATAGGCTTAGAAGTTTCTGAATCTAGGTGAAGGGAACAATGTTTTGAAAAATTCATATTATGGGCGAATAACTGCTCCACATAATGATAGTTCCACCCATAAATATTACAAAATCCCGTCTTACATGAGGTTTTCAAAAATGTCCTCAAATAGAAAATGAGGTAATAATCAATACCAGTTTGCATGTCAACACCGGAAACTAACTTGAAGAACAAGTTTTTTTGTTCATTTTTTTGAAAATTGGTACTCTGACAATTCCACAAAATGATAGTTCCACCTCATGTTTTGTCGCTGCGTTTTTTTGTTGGGTAAAACTGTCTCATCATTGTGACTTTGCCTTTTCTAGGCTATGGCAAGAGGACATTCATTATCGGATCCTGAAAAAGGACAGATAATCGCAAAGACTCAGGACTGTCGAACCGTCAAATCGCACGGGATTTGGGCCGCAGTCATCATGTGATCAACAATTTTGTCAAGCAACCTGCAGGATATGGAGTTAAGAAGAGCTCTGGGCGTCCTCCTTTGCTCTCTGATCGGGATAAGCGCTGTATTCTGAGAGAAGCATCCAATTCTCCAATGTCGTGCCCGGGAAAATAAAGATCAACCTAGGCGTAATGTCTCTGAGGAGACTGGTTGGCGCTATACTTGAAACTCCTGAGTTGCAAGCTACAGAAGGTCGATGAGTCCGATGCATCGTTTGTTGTACAAAAAACTATCGGCGAAAACCTTAATGCTTTGCTGGAAGATGTTGCCGAACCAATTGGATTAAGGTTAGTTTTGGCTGAGCGTGATTCACTTGTCACCAAACCGCCTTTTTGCCCTGGCCAGCGAGTAGCCCCGACCTAAACTCAGTCGAGAATGTGTGGGGCTTCATCTGTGCGAAACGATGCGGCAATTCCGGCGACTGCCGTGAGCTAAACACTTGCTTGATTGGATGAATCGCATTGTGTTTGGTTGGCGATGCTAGTCATTTCGGGCAATTGTCAGAGCTACCATTTTCAGAAAAATCACAGCAAAAAAAACTTGTTTTTCCAAGGTTTCGCGTCGTTGACATGCGAAGCTGGTATTGATTATTACCTCATTTTCTATATGAGGACATTTTTGAAAACCCCATGTAAGACGGGATTTTGTAATATTTATGGGTGGAACTATCATTATGTGGAGCAGTGTATAATTGTAATTAGTGTGGAGAGTTCTTCTTTATTCCCTGTGCTCACTGTTCTATCATTTTGTGGAAAAGTACAACTTGTGCTCCTCAATCATAAGAATTTGTTTCTCTATGGAAGCTCTGATAGCCAAATATATTCATATGAAAATTCTTCAAAGGAACTAGAAATTAAGGAGTTTGCTTTTTCTTGATGTCAAGTAGGGAAAAAACTAGGCAAACTAGCTAAATAGAAGTGTTTTCAGGGCTCAATGAAATCTTTCACAGAAAAGCAAAAATTTGCAAGAACCAAGGACTCCCATATGCGAGCTCGAGCTTTCGAAGCAGAGCGTTTCTCCACTACAGCACCGGCAGCCTGCCACAGGCATTACCGTACTGAACATGTGTGAACACAGCGGAGATTAAATGGTCCGTAACTCGCTTCAAAGAATTTCCTGAGTTTCCGAGGGCAGTTTGGAGTTCAGCGTCTCAAGATACGTCGATCTACATACATCTCATTGCAAACGGCCGGATCGACCTGTTGGGGTTCCCTTGTCAGTCCACCGTAAAGAAGAATTTCTTGTCAGGAACGATATAAACTTTCAAATAATCGCACACTTTGCCTCTAACACCTCGTTTTCAGGCCTCACTGATGAGGATGCGGCCGTCGATTTCGGCCCTCTAGTGAACAAAACACTGACATCGGCCGAGTTATTCTTCCAGTTAGTACGCTCTCAATCTTTCAGTCTTTGCATTCATTAATAAAGGCATGAGAAAATAGAGATAAAAAGTTATTCTTGCTCGAAAGACGGCCATCATGGTGCACGTCGTGGCGCATTGTGAACTATCTAATCTGTGCAATGGAAAAAACCGAAGGAACCACAGAGAATTTAAAAAAAACAACTCAATTTTTGTGGGTTATTCCGGGAAATGAATGTGAACAGTTCAAATGAAGAGTTTCATTTTGCTTGGCACTATTTACCCTTTACTGCCCCAATCATCCGAAATCTGGCCAGTTTTTGACCACTTTTTTCTCCGTGAACGGAATTGGCTGAAAATTTGTCTCCTGGGGTAGTTCCACCTCCTGAACATGAATATCACATCCGCTCGGCGCGAAACCTCCTGGCGCTCACGCTACTGGCGCCGGCGCCAAAACACCTCAAATTACCGGCGCCTGTGGCGCGGGCGCCAGAAGTTTCGGGCAAGCGAATAGATATTCGTATTCAGGAGGTCAAACTACCCCAGGAGACAACATTTGAGCCAAATCTGTCCACGGAGAAAAAAGTCGGTCAAAAACTGGCTCAATTCTGGATGATTGGGGCAGTAAAGGGTAAATAGTGCCCATTCCTTGTATATACGCCCCCCCCCCCTTCAGAAGGTAGTTCTCTAAAATTTGTATATGGCACCCTCGTATTGATGAGAACTTGCTTCGCAGGGATGTAGGTTCGCAATAACCTTTTGAGTGATGTCTGGTTTCGTAAGCGACTAGTGAATTTTTGCAGCGAGCGCTACTTCTCTGCAGGCGTTTTAGGAAACTTGATTTCTTTAGCTCGCCCACTTGAGTGCACGCTCCACCTACTGCTGGCGGAGCTTGGCCTAACTTACGTGTGTCCCATGCATTTTGACCTATGCCCCACCCATATTAAATTTGATCCATTCCCTAGAGCGATTTCGTGATTCTCATTTTCCGGGCGCTCACACAAACATACAAAACACACATTTCTTGATTCTCATGAATATATTCCAAACATAAGAACCTTCCTGTATATATTCCACTATAGGTAATATTGACCCATTCTGTCCACCACTGGTAGTAATGCTGTATGATGCTACTTATTCCAGCCTTGATATTCTTTCGCTAACCAGCTACACCGAATTAATCCTCACTTTGCCTCAACGCCATATCGTACTTGCTCTAACGGCCGCCTGGCTCCTGGTATTCGCTGGAGTCTGCCGCAGCACGACATGGATGGCGTGGGCGACACGCATAACAGCGACTATACCCTATTTATTGGTACGTTTACCTCTTTCTCTGCTTCGATCCTTCTACCCAGGGAAGAACTGAAGACCGTATCCTACAAGCAAGCAATGCAGGGAAGGCTGGGTTCCACTCAGTGGGTAGTGATATCTGGGGCAGGTCAGCAGACATCGGGCGGCTTCGCACATTGGGCACACGACAAGCTGGGAGCTATGCCGTTTGACTCCAGCAACTTCGGCACCGAGCTCATTTTTAAATTGCCTAAGTTACCAAATCCGCTAAAAACTTGTATGTAGGGGTAGTTTAACATCCTGATTACGAATATGACATTCACTCTTGCCGCTGGCGCTAATGGATGACACTACGATTACCTGCGCTCCGCTAAGGCTGAGAGCCCAAGAGGTAATCGTAGTGTCATCCCTTGGCGCCAGCGCCAAAGAATGAGTGTCATAATTGTAATCAGGATGGTAAATAACCCTTGTGTACATATTTTCAGCGGGTTTGGCGACTTAGGTAATTTAAAAATGAGCTCGGTGCCGAAGTTGCTGGAGTCCAAACGGCATTAGCCGACACCGGCATGATGCAGGGAAGGCTGGGTTCCACTCAGTGGGTAGTGATATCTGGGGCAGGTCAGCAGACATCGGGCGGCTTCGCACATTGGGCACACGACAAGTTGCCGCTGGTACAGGTACGCGCAGCAACCATGAACGATCGCTTAGTCGCGCGATCACCATGCACCTCCTTATCAGCACCTAGAATTTTTCGCCTCACTAGTAGTATCATCTCGGCCCAATTATTATCCAATTATCCTACGATCCTAATTCTCAGTATCAAATCCCGTTCACCACTTTTCGGATCAAAATCATCACTTTTGAAACTAAAATCATCACTTTTGAATTCAGAACCACCACAATTCACATCAAATTCACCGCATTATTTAGACCGCAGAATTAATGAACCAAACTGCGCTAGACACCACCGCAAGCCGCCCGAAGATCATTGCTAAGGTGGTCCCGCATGCCACGAAAAGCTCCGCCCATTTCGCAAAAGGCCGCCCTTTTCCGAAAAATGACGCATTTCCGCAGGCTAGAGTCCCAGCTGGCATGTTAGGGTCTTGCTCGTCACTCGGAGCAAAAAAAACGGGGCAAACCTGTTAACTGGTCACGGCACTGGGAACCCTTACCCCATCAGTTACCCCTTTAAATTAGACGATCTCCGCATACTTCCGCTAATGGTTAATTCACAAAGCCCACAGCAAACAACTATTTAGACTGATTAGCATTTATGATTTCAGCTATTCATTCTTCTTGTGCGAGGTCTTTCACTACCAGGAGCCGGTGTTGGATTGTCCTTTCTATTTTCGTCAGCATTTGGAAGTATCTCATCGCTAGATGTAAGAATACCCTGTGTTGTGATGTGTTCAAGGCTTTATCTAATAATTCAGTGTAGATGTGGGCAGCAGCCGCAGAACAAGTCTTGTTCGAAATTGGTGTTGGCACCGGTGCACTGCTCTCTATAGCTGCTTATAGCCGCTTTCGAAATAATGTCTACCGTGATGCGGCACTTCTGATTTCAATGTGAGAACAACTGATTCTTTTTCAGATTTCGCCTTTCTCAACCAGGGCACAGCATTAGTTGTGTTCGAGCCTGTACGACCCCCCCCTTTTTTGGGAGTTGGTACGACCCCCCCCCAGCCCTCTGTCCTTCCTCATCGAATCGAGCCGTCGAGCGGGGGAGGGGGGAAGGGGGGGGGCATATAG